CCCTTTTTTAAACGAATTAATCTCCAAATTTAATGTATTCTTTCCTTGTCCATCTCCAAATTTAATGCATTCTTTCCTTGTCCTAAATTTTAATTTTCTACTACCCTTTTTGTGACTCCTACTTCTTAAATATTTAAATTATGTTTTTTTGACGATCTCTCCTCATCTACGGTGTTAATGGCTTCAATGTTAAAGCACCAAATAAATGTATTTACCAACCAACCATACATACATAAATACATACATACATATATACATACATACATAAGTAAATACGTAAATTGTATTGGACTGGTAAATTGACTTGTGATTGAATCATTTTTATCCTTATATTTCTTGAAAATGTCGGTGAATTTGCTTCGCAGTAGGGATGGACCAATATCGAATTCGAATGCGACGAATATTGCGAATATTTAAGAATTCGAATCTTGCGATTGCGAATAGTTCGGATGCGAATATTCGAATATCTTCGATTATTGCTTCGATTTTTAATTGTCAATGAACCGCGAGAGATAAAATGACACTTTTGAATGCGATTATTCGAATATTCGAATTTGCGATTTCAAATACTTCGGAAGCGAATACCTATCGACGGTGAAACTACCAAACCACGTATCTCGTTTGCGGTGTTTAAAAATCTACGCTCACATTTTATTTTTTTGAAGTAGACCAAATCAATATCATCCCTTGAAATTTTCACAGAATTTTCTCCGCACGAAGAGGAAAAATCACAGAAATTTTCAAGAGTGGACGTTAAGTAGTTTTTCATTTAAAAAATAAAGTATGACAGGAAGTCTGCGACGTCGCAAACCGAGATACGTGGTTTGGTAGTTCCACCGTCGATATTCGAATGTGATGCGATTACCTATCTCGGTGCCGATGATTCGAATATCGAATATTCGAATATCTAAATATTCGACCATCCCTACTTCGCAGCTCGAGAGCATTGACCGCAATGAGTCAGTTAGGATGGCTACAGAATTATGTTTTGATGCTAGATTCTTGTGAATTACCTAAAAATATTAAGATCTGTCCAAGCTGCAACTTTATACGTTCAATATTAATCGAGAAATCGCCCTATGAAAAGTTGGGTTATTGACGTCATCCACCGCGCAGTGACACCCTTGGTTTCTTCCACCTTGCTTTCATCCGCGTTTCACGTAGAGTAAAGCCCGTGTCCCACGATCAAATGAATTCATCAAATGCAAGATGGCGGGTTCATCAACATTTGACGGCCCGCTAACTTTTGATAGCAGACTTGCGCGAAAACCAGTCGCCATCTTGCATTTGATGAGTTCATTTGATCGTGGGACAAGGGCTTAACCAATGCTAATAAAGTGTGTCTCCCTGACTGATAAACCAAGCAGGAAAAAAACCCAAAGACATAAAGACGGAGTGCTCGTATCTAAAAGCACGGGGAAAAAGGGCGATATCTCGGTTGGTATTGAACGTAGAAAGTTGCGGTTTGGACGGATCTTAATATTTTTAGCTTCTCTACTAAAATCAAGAATCAAAACACAATACTGTGACCAGCGCAACTGACCCATTTTCGAACAAAGAGATTCAATAATCTTTCCTTAGAGGACTTTTTTGTTTTGTGATTCTTGGCAACACTGTAATGCATTCCTGCAATCTTATTCTCATTTGACCAAATACACTGTAGCCGCTAACACACGTACACTCCGAATGTACATTCTGGCCTATTGCGCATGCGCAGACATCGAGAATGTTCCTCATTTTGTTCCCTTGAACAACTATAAGTTACAGGAATGAGTAAAAGATCGTCGCGGGTATCTTCTTCTTCTCGTCAAACTGTACATTCTTTTCCAAGAGAATGATGAGTGTAAATTCGCAATGCCCGCGCATGCGCAGTGGGCCAGACTGTACATTCGGAGTGTACGTGTGTTAGCGGCTTAAAGATACGTGGATCAACCGATTTCAATCGGTTTTTTTAAACATTAGCTATGTTTATGCGAGCCTCTTAACCTAACTTCAATCGAAACCTGAGTTTGAAACCAAGGTTCAAATCACGGCATAAACGTTACGGAACTAACGAAATGTAGGTTTCCGAAATTTGTGTTTGAAACCTCATTTTACACTAAAGACTAGGTTTTCGCTAGAGTCCCTTTATACCCAGAGTTAAGACAACTCGATTATCAGCTGACTGGCAGCCGGCCTTGGCTGGCCATGGAGGCCGAAACGAGTGCACCCAAACGAACGATATTGAGGGATAAGGATCAGGAATCCTGCGATGTCTGTCAAACAAAAACAACAACATCAACAAATTGATCAATTAAAAAGAAAATGAGATTGGTTTGTGAATAATTTCTTAATCTATTTTCATTTTGGATCGATGGAAATAATAATTTACTCTTGATGAACCACAATTAGGTAATATTTTCATTATTCTTGTTCACATTCGAGGTACCGCCATCTTGGTGCACTCGTTTCGGCCTCCATGAGCGAGAACCAATCAGAATTGGATTTTTTTTTAGGCCACTTTCAGCCCAACCAAAAGTGAGTTGTCTTAACTCTGGGTATAAAGGGAGTAGGGACTCTAGTTTTCGCACTCCGCATAAACGAACCGGAGGTTGAAATTAGTTGAAATTCGACTTCAAATGCGATTTTCAGGTGCGCGATCGGCAATATGGCGGATTTATTATCATACCGTTCGTAAACAACAGGTCCTTATCCCACGATTTAGCTTTAATTTTGCCATTACTTATTCAACATTTTTTACAATCATAATTTTACTATAATTGTTGCTTAAGCACTTTCACGTGATTCCTTCAGTTATATGTGGCTTACTTATCCTTATTTAGCTAAACGTAGGACGTTATTTTCTAGTGAAGGTGTTTAGTGTCAGATGGAATCCAGGCTTATTACTGCTTTTTCAGATTATTCTTGCAACTCTAATCAACATTTTATGACTACAGAAGCAAAGCAAGCAAAGAGCTTTACAGGCTACAATTGAGTAATAGCCTTACCCACCAGTTCATCATCTGCGGAGAACTTTTTTACTGCATCCGCACGATTTGCCTAAGATTTCAAGATAAGGCACCCTGCTTCCCTTTAAGTAGTGCACCGAATTTTTTCATTTCAATCTACCGATTAAATCTAAAATCTGACCCAATCAGAGCTGCATAGCTCTTATATTTGTGTGTTATCCGTGTATCTATTTCCTGGTTGTCCTACTGGAAGTGTGACTCCAGCCACAACCGTGACCTGCTGACTTATTTCTTTGATCCAATCTCTAGTAAATGATGACTCAAATTCTGAAGCCATCATTTATTGAAACTAGTTCAAAGTTATTGCTCCAAAGTATCGTCACTCTTCTCATACTGATGCGGAAGGAAGGAGATTCTTCGGTGAGTGCTCTGTGATCCAAGATTTTCAATTTGAGATAAGAATAAGGTTTTTATTGAGGCGTGTAACAATTTTTGGTCGTTGAACCACTTGTCATAATTGAGCTTTGGCGTTAGAGATGCATCAACTGTGGAAAGTGGCTCTGCCTGTGCAAAAATATCTTGTGACAGCAGTGAATGTTAGTAAATGCGCTTTACAGATAGACTGAGAGCTCCAGATTCCAATCTACCTGTATAATTAAATTCAGAAGGATTTTTGAATTGAGTTCATATCGAATCTCAGTGGGAGAATAATATACAGTGTAAGCGAAAGAATATCAATGGTAAGGTTGGGTTGGTGTCTTAGGTTAGTGAAATGCAATGGCAGGTTCTGAAATCTTGTTTTTCAGTTGCTCTTTACATGAGTCACCTTTGAAAATCAAGTTTAAGAAAAACACACATAGGTAGGCAAACAGTGGTAGGTAGCTTGCCTATTTTCTTCCTGTCTTGCTCATGGACTCGGAGAGCAGTCGGAAAGAGGGGTGAGAAACAGGATTTCAGCGCGTGTCTCTGGGAATGTGGAAATTCAAAATTTGTGAAGCGTCACCAGTTTGTTGAGATTGTCACCGTCCGTTGCCTCAAGAGGATTTAGACGCTTCTGCTTCAGCGATACATTGTTGATCTATCAATATCTGCTTATTTTGATCATATCTTGAAGGAGGAATTCCCATAAGTATATCCCGATTCTTTATTTGTTTCACTACAATAATGGCAGACATACAATCTTTACAACAGCATGGAGTGAAGGTGCGGTGCTTTACTGGATTAGCACTCCTACACTTTCAATGCCTATATCTACCTATTGTAAGATCATTAGAAGCTCAATAAACAATATGATGCATTTCTGCGCCTGCCACAATTATTTTTAACATCACTAAAATTACCTATGGCAACTTTTCTGAACTCAGAATATATGTTCGAGCATGATTTGGAGGGTTGTTGAGATTAGGTATTCATTCAATTTTAAAGATGAACGTAAAATGATTAAACATCTACTGTCATTTTTCCAACTGTTGCTCAGAAAGTCAGTAAAGGCTTTTCTAGTGAAGATGAAGCCTCCGCTTATATATTGTGGAAAAATTGAACATACACAGGATAAAAGAGTAATACCTAATAATTTATTGAATCAATTCATAGTGGAAAAATGAAGTATAGCTTGTGAAAATGGCGCCAACATGAAATTCAAGTTCAATCGAAAATATGCGCATAAACAGCGCCAAAATCGGAAAGTTTGATTTCCCGCGAAAGTCGGGTTACAGCGCTCGCATAAACCCGACGGAGGAAACTTGCATTACAAACTCGGGTTTCGTGAAACCCCGGTTTCAAGCCTCGCATAAACGTAGCTATTCTTTTTGTAAAACCGCAACAGCAGTGATACAAAATTTTGGTCTTTTCCAACGTTATCACGCCGTTACACTGCATAGATTCTGTAATATTTTTCGTTGCTTGTCTTTATATGCTTCAAAGAATCTTAAAAATATTCCGTGCAATACTTTCACTTTTCGTCACTAAATAGAAATGCAAATCTGCTCAGTGAATGTAATGTGATGTTTAAATAATTTTTACCGAATTGGTAGGTAGTGCGTGCGAGGATAAGGTTATTTTTAAGGGGTCTAGCACAGGGTTGAGGGGGGGGGGGGTAAAAACTGCAAACTTAGCGTTACAAAATTTAAGGACGGCGCGCCCACGCATTGCAATGCACTTCTGCACTTATATTCTCTCCAACCTCCATGGATATTTTAGATAATTATACTATGGAGCTTTTGAATGTGAGAGGGATTTGTGATGAAAATATTTATTCTTCCGTCAAATTCCGCGAGAAACACAATTGTGCCGCTGCTTATCTCTTAAATCAACTCCAAAACTCAAAAAAGGTTCTCAAAGTTGAGACCGTTAAGGCGGGGATATCCCATTCTACCATGAAAGTCAATCTCACATCAAGACAAACTCTCTACGCAAAGATAGGGATCGAAAACATTGATAGGATTGCAGTGTTTTCAGTTGTGTCTCCAAACAAACTGGCACCGTTAATGTAGTAGTTCCCTATATTTGTATAGAAAGTTTAGTTGATATAGAGCTGGACTCTCATGGTAATGTGAGATATCCCTGTCATTACGATCTCAACTTTGAGAGCTTTGTTTTTTGCCATAGACTTTATTGGGAGAAGGTACTTAAATCTCACATCCTTCACAAATGCAAGAGCTACGTTGAGGTGTGTTTTTGTTTTTGACACAGAAAAAGGATTAATAAATTAATTTCATCGGGAAATTCAATTTCCTTTTTGTAACTTTTGATACTTGGCTATTACGCAATAAGATACTAAAATTTTAAAACTATACAAAAAGTCAGTAACACTTAAAATATAGAGGCAAAAAAAAAAAAAATGGAAAAAAACCGGAAATGAAAAATTTTCAAGCATAGGAAGTATCTGATGTTAATGTAGTAATATTAAAATCACGTTGATTAATTCAAACGTTCTGCTAAACAGGAGAAAAACTCTAATGAAATTACAATTTTTATAGTACACAAGTCCAAAAAACCAGCAAGTAACCATGAGTATGAGCTGCTATTGCTCAAAGCTACTGAAGTAAAGGAAAGCCCTAATGATACAATAGATGTAAGAGAAAAAAAGTTCAAATTCGTTGGAGACACACTAAATCCAGATTCCAACGTCATCGGTAAAATATTTTTATACTAAATTATGGTATAGATTATTTATTAAAGAAAAAGAGGAGTTATAAAAGTGAAAAAAATCAATACGCGAGTTATACATGTAATATGTTTCATCATTGCAATAATTAATAAGATAAATAATTATAATTAGTCCATAATGTGGTCAGGTCAAGTCTATAATTTAAGCTTTCAATGCCTTCATAACCGACCTTTAATCAGTTACCGTTTTATTACCTTGTATTATGCAAACCGTACAATCAAGATTGACGGGAGTAAGTTAGCATTTCCATTACTAATTTTATTTTACTCAAAAATAAAGTAATCGAGAAAAATATTTTTCTACAGATGCAATTGGTATAATTGGAATCGTATCTGGAGAAAAGGAGGTAGGAACCAACATTCTGAAAAGGGAAATCATACTCCAGGAACACAATTTATCATCCGTAACTATTCAAGATTGACCTATTTTTTTACTGTATGTTTGACACTTCATTGTCATACCGGTTAAAACCACTATCCTACCTCATTTCAAGAAAAAATTTCTATTAGCTTATGGTTTATTACCAAAGATTTAAAAACATTTACTAACATTTCAACTGAAACTATTCTGAAACAAAGGATCAGTAACATACAAATGAGATACCTGTTAATTAATTTTAGGCACAACATATTGGGACAATCGATTTTGATCTGGTATTGAAAATCTGCTTCCGTTTTTTAACATTCATTTACTTAATTACCAAATAATCTAGCAGCAACGGCCAAAAATGAAGTTTTGAGACTATACTTACACGAAGTAAGTTTAGTGTTTTAAAAAAGATATAAAAGCCAAACATTGGACAAACAGTATGAATACGTTCAGATTCAGACGGTGGAGAAACTTGTTTCAAATTTCAAAACATTTTTATAATCTTAGTGATCTGAAAGATGAAGTGGAAACAGAAAATATATCTGTTGCGGTGAAAACCCGAAAACGCGGGCAATACGCGATTAGCCCGGGCACATCGCGATTTGCCCAAGGCGTTTTGGGCACATCGCGAAATATTTTAAAAAACCGGGTTTCGCCCGGGCAAATCGCGATGTGCCCGGGCAGTTCGCGAAGTGCCCAATGGTGATTTGGACAAATCCTAAAATCAAAGAAACCAGAAAATAAAACCAGGAAAAAGGAGAAATTCTTACCTACGGTGAAGTAACCCCCTGGTTTTATATTCTGGTTTCTTTGATTTTAGGATTTGTCCAAATCACCATTGGGCACTTCGCGAACTGCCCGGGCACATTGCGATTTGCCCGGACGAAATCCGGTTTTTTAAAATATTTCGCGATTTGCCCGGTTTTCGGGTTTTGACCGTAACATATCCATTGCATCATATGGTTTGCTGTGTTCTCTGGAAATCTTGATATTATAACTAAATTTTTTTTCGTTTCTAAAGATTCTAGGAGCAAACCTGTCTTAAACGCCTTTACTATGTACGATTTAAGAAATGACAGTTATTTATTTTTATTAAAATAAATACCTATTTAATAACAATTTTAAAAAAACTTTTTCAGATGTGTTTGATTCTGTGGGAAGAGCAACCCGAAAAATTGGAAGAGGGAGATGAAGATATGAGCATATCAATATCGAATGCTACAAAATCGACATTTCAAGACCAAGAAATAAACAAATTACCCCGTCTTAGAACAGCCACATGGAGAAAACAATAAACTGCGTCGAAGCTAAAATTTTGAAAGATTGGTTGAACCAAAAAAATAACATTCCGTGAAATTCAGAACTATTTAATACTATTCATTGTTCGTTTACATTATGAAAATTAATTTCATAAATTTATTCAAAATTTTAATAAATCATTTTTTCAATAACTATGATTTATATATTGTTCGTTTTATTGCGAGTTATAATACATTGAAAATGTTTCTGTACCGCGAAAATATTTTAATTTCTGTCAAAATAATTCTGATTACTCCAGCCCATGAATAACTAAAGTGGCAAAAATTTCATTGAAGCCTTTTTTACGTATTGATAATCACATCGCACCAGCTGATCGTCGCTTGACGTACACCATTATCAATTTCAGTGATGAATATTAATCTCTTGAATAACTTGAGCATGGTTCGTTCACGAATTTTAAAGTGCACTTTCTTTGAGGTGGTTGGCGGCCGCGTAGCGGCCACAGGCCCCTGGTTTTCTATAATGCTATCAGGAAGCCCGTTTCCTCACCACCATAGAGGTAGGGCAGTCAGCGCGTTTTTTTTTTAAAGTGGTATCCCCAAGAGGCCTATTCCACTTAATGATCTTTGATCACACATCCACTAGTTTTTACTGAAATCATTTTTATTTCAGAACGTTGGGCCTGTTGCAAAATTCTACTTGAGCAAAAAGAGGAATTGATTCTTACAAAAAATAGCTTAAAACATGATGAGTGCATTGGCAAAGTCTGAAATTCACTTCTAACTTCACACTCTGACTGAGAAATATACGGTTGTTTTGAGTTTCCCGCTTCGAAACAATATCACTGCGCAGGTAAACATTTCGTTAGAGGAGTCGCTCCATTAGATCCTTGCGCACCAGGATGTTCCTTAATACTCAACATAGCCGACACGCCTCTGCGCGCAAATCGAGGGCGGAGTACAGGGTCAATCAAAGCGAATATTTAACAACGCGAGGAAAATGTAAATGTAAACACGGCAGTTGTTAACAAATGGTTAGAATCTTGTCTCAGCGATTGTGTTTTGGCGGATTGGCATCGGTCATGTTAAATATTGCGTAGTATCCTAGTGCATACGGGTTGGATGGAACGACTCCTCTAACGAAATGTTCACCTGTGCAGTGGTATCGTTTTGGAAGCAGGAAGCAGGAAGCTCAAAAAAACGCTAATTTCTTAGCAGATTGTGAGGTTCAGAGTGCATTTCAGACATTGCCAGAGCGCTCATCGTGATTTTTGAGACATTTTCCTTGAGAAACAACTCTCTTTTTTGCTCTAGAAAAAGTTTTCGACATGCCCATTGACTCGAAGCCTAAATTTCCTAATGAATGCTTCGCTCATTTTTTGATAGCGAGAGGCTAACTTCCAATCCACATCTCAGCCTCGGAGGTATTTGTTTTCGAAGAAATCAAATCCAAACATTTATGCAAAGCTAATCCGTGAGAACGAAGGAAGTCGACAGAGAGACACTCTTGGCTACACTACTCCGGCACCCTTGAAACTTTGCAAAAACATAGTTCTGACCTCCCTAGTAATGGATAGGGCAAAGGGACATTTGAAGGTAATGCTTGCCCGACAGACTAATTCGAGTTCAAAAAAGAAAAAAACTTGAGAAGTCAAGTTTTGAGACACTTTATTTAGTGCACGGTACACGACGGAGCAGAAAGCAAAAAACACAACATGACGATGTAGCGAGAGAGTGTACAGAGCGGAAAAAAGGAAACAGGAGTACAAGCAGTTCACAAGAAATGCCACAGAGGACAGCACTGCACGGACGTGCAAACAGGTTCCAACACTTCCCCTTCAGGCCAACATTTTTATACGAACAGATCTTGAGTTTTGAAAAATGTTATGTCTCACAATAAAAGGGTTTTGAAAAAAATTGGCGTCTCCCAATAAAAAGGAATTCGAGAGTTAAGTAACATCCCATTGAGGCGATGTTTTTTTCTTTCTTTTCTCTTCTTCTTCTTCTTGCATCAAGGGCACACAGGAATTACCTTAACAACGTGACAATAAGAGTTCATTGGAAATATAGAGAATAAAATACATCATGAAAATCGCGTAACATTCGTGAAGAGAAAAAAAAATTAAACATTAATAAAATTTCAAAGAGCCTCAATAACATTGATTGACTTACAGAGAAACTTGGTTCTGACTCCATTCAAGGGTTTAGTAAAAAGGTCTGCAGGCTTTTCTTTACTGGGCACAAATTTAAAAAACCTTCCCCTTTTCACTCATATTCTTGATATAATAGTATTTTAAATCAACATGCTTTGTCTTATAAAGGTCGACTTTTCCCGCTAGGGGAAAAGCCGCCTCATGGGACCGGAGTCCCGGAGGGATAAAGAAAGGAACAGCAAAAAAAGAACAAATTGAGTTGGGAGGAACCCTGCTCACTTGCCCAACCTCCACGCGAGACCGCACACAATCACAACAACATACTAAAACTAGAAAAACGGTAATTCACCTCCGAAGGGCTGATTTCAAAAAAAAAATTACATCGCGAGACGCGGTTTCCAAGAATCCAAAAACGAGAATAATGGCGGAAGGCCAGACTTGCTGTTTTCGGGTTCCTCCGCCTGCGCGCTGTTGGCGGAGGAAACCGAAAACAGCAAGTTTCAAAACTTTGGCTGGAGGGCTATTGACTCTTTACAGTCTTTTCAGAACTTCCCACGTCTTACTCAAAGAGATTGCTGTCTCATTGTCAGAAAATAGTGAGCATGGTTCTGGGGCATATTTTTCTATTCCTAATTCAAACAAAAATTGTGACGCCCATTTTATTTCCTTAACAGCTTCATAAGTAAATAGCGTAATATTCTGCCACTGCTGTGGAGTCAGCTGCACTAGACTGTTTCCAGGCCAAAAAAATTATAGGACCTTTACCTACGGTGGCTACAACGCCAGAAATGGATTTACTATCAAGTTTCTTATCTCCCAGATCCGAGTCAGAAAATAATTTAATAGGTTCATCATTCTTTATATATTTTAAGACAAAATCTTTTGAGAAATTTAGATACCTCAAAATGTGCTTAGTGTTCATCCAATCGTTGAGGATTAGGTGTTCACTTTGTTGGCTCACTTTACACACTGCAGAGCTAATGTCAGGCCTAGTTGACTAAGTTGACTGAGATGCAATAGGGAGCCAAGCGCCCAAAGCCCTAGCGATACAAAGTCTTATCGAAATTATCTGCCTCATCATAATCATTTCCCTCCTTTCCATTGCCTTCCAATCGCTGACATTTGCCTTACAAATTGACATTCCAAATGTTCCCAATGGTTGGTCAATGTGGTGCCGTTGATCTAGCATTACAGTGTACTTTTCAGTTCTTATTCTTACAGAAAGAAAGTTTGTCGGTTCTCCCATGGCTCTAAGTTGAATTTCGCCATCGAGTGCACCTTGTATCTTATACAGGGTTATTCAAAAGTCACCTACCACCCCTGTAACTTTTTTCCTAATTGAGATAGAAGTTTGAAACTTTGGGAATGTTCCTCGGTTTAAGGTAGCATTTTTTTGGTCCCCCCAAAATTTTGGGGGGCGGATCCCCTTAAGGGGGGCGGAGGCTAACTTTTTTTTCAAATGGCAACCCCCCTTTTAGGATACCTCATTCGAAAGATAATAAAAAAAGAAAATTTTTGGCGCAAAGCGCAGGTCAAAATGTTGATTTTTAACAAAATGGCGGCCGGTCTAAGTTCAAAATGGCGGAAAACTGACTTTTCCGTTGTTTATTGACAGATTGGCGTTAAACTCGGAACCCTAAAGTTTTTCGAGACAAGAAAAAGAAAAACGATTCTGGCAAGGGTTTTCTAGAAAAGTCGGTCCTTTTCAAAATGGCGGCGGTCAAAATGGCGGCCTAGCGCGGGAAGTGGATAGTTAGGCTGCTTATCGTTAGATTTGCATGAAACTTGGTATCCGGGGGTATTTTGGCACGAGAAGAACGAATCTTTCACGGGATACCTGAAATTCCGACAAATTTCAAAATGGCGGCGGAAAAATGGCGGGAAATCAGTTTTAGGGCTGTTTACTGATGGATTCGCATGAAATTCAATATTCTGGTGGTTTTTGGCTGGATAAGAAGGAATCTTTCATTAGATTGTTGAAATACCAGATAATCGATATCAAATTTCATGCAAATCCATCGCTAAACAGCCGTAGAACTGATTTCCCGCCATTTTTCCGCCGTCATTTTGAAATTTTTCTGAATTTCAGGTATCCCATGAAAGATTCGTTCTTCTCGTGCCGAAATACCCCCGGATACCAAGTTTCATGCAAATCCAACGATAAGCAGCCGATATATCCACTTCCCGCGCTAGGCCACCATTTTGACCGCCGCCATTTTGAAAAGGACTGACTTTTCTGGAAAATCAATGCCAGAATCGTTTTTCTCGTCTAGAACAACCCTGAGATTCCGAGTTTAACGCCAATCTGTCAATAAACAACTGAGATGTCAGATTTCCGCCATTTTGAACTTTGACTGGCCGCCATTTTGTCAAAAATCAATATTTTGACCTGCGGTTTGCGCCAAAAATGTTCTTATTTTATAATCTTACGAAGGAGGTATCACAAAGGGGGGGTTGCCATTTGAAAAAAAAAGATAGCCTCCGCCCTCCTTAGGGGGGCCGCCCCCCAAAATTTTGGGGGGACCAAAAAGTTGCTTTTTCAGACCGAGGAACATTGCCAAAGTTTCAAACTTCTACCTCAATTTGGGAAAAGTTACAGGGGTGGTCAGGGACTTTTGGATAACCCTGTATACCTCATTGCATTGTTTTGCCCCTGCAACCTTTCCACAAAGTGTCCCAAAAGTCCGTAGTCCCCCTCGTAACTTTTGAACGTTTAAAGATAGAAAAACGAAACTTTGGGAATGTTTCTATCTTAAAGGGGACTTCTAGGGGGGTCAAAATTTTTGTCCCTCCTCAGGAGGGGCGTGGGGGCCCCCAACTTTTTTTTTAAAAATAGTAACCCCTATCTTGTGATACATCATTAGAAAGAACATTAAAAACTAAGAATTTTGGCACAAACCGCAGATCAATATCTTAATTTTTGATCGAGTTACGATAGGTCAAAGGTCAAATTTGACCTATTTTCAAAAAATCATGACTCCGGTTCAAAATATCGTAAAGAAAAAAATAAAATGGGAAAATTTACCAAATTGTAAGCACTTCTAGGTAAAAATCACAGAAGTTACTTCAAACTAATTTTAAGGGGGGTTTCGGACCCCCAAATACGTCATTTTAAAGGTCATACGATTTTCTCGCGAAATGAGCCAATTTCCCCTTACTTTTCCTCAACAACAGTAAGTTCAAAATTAGTTCAACATTGCGATTTCAAGTCTCCAAATTTCGAACAAAGTTTTTAAAAAAATGAAATTTAAATGGTTGAATTGAATCACCTTAATTTCGTTTTTTGAGCTCTGCCCGAAATTTGGGGACTTGAAAATGCAATGTTGAACTAATTTTGATTTTACTAACTAAGATAATGTTGAGGAAAAGTAAGGGGAAATTGGCTCATTTCGCGAGAAAATCGTATGACCTTTAAAATTACGTATTTGGGGGTCCGAAACCCCCCTTAAAATTAATTTGAAGTATTTTCTGTGATTTTTACTTAGAAGTGCTTACAATTTGGTAAATTTTCCCATTTTATTTTTTTCTTTACGATAATTTGAACCGGAGTTATGATTTTCTGAAATTAGGTCACGTTTGACCTATTATAACTTGGTTAAAAATTAAGATATTGATCTTCGGTTTGCGCCAAAATTCTTAATTTTTAATGTTCTTTCTAATGATGTATCACAAGATAGGGGTTTCTCTTTGAAAAAAAAAGTTGGGGGCCCCTGCGACCCCCCTGAGGAAGGGACAAAAAGTTGGACCCCCTTAGAAGATGGTCCCCTTTAAGATAGAAACATTCCCAAAGTTTCGTTTTTCTATCTCTAACCGTTCAAAAGTTACGAGGGGGACTCCGGACTTTTGGGACACCCTGTATAACACTTTTCCCTGCTTCAAAAAGTATGGTTGGGTTGTGCAGTGATTTAATATTGCATCCCCTTTCCGACTAGAATTTTCATTTTTTGTTTGCATCCAGTCTTATCTTAACCTAGGGAAAAACCTTGATCAGTTACTCCTCAACAAGCTCAACGGAAACAATCCAGAGAAACAATGACAAGTCAATCCATTTCATTCGTTTTCAATCCTTTAAGGATGCTTCTCATAGTTCTTCGTGGTAGAAAAAATTAATTGTTCGAAACCGATTTACACGATATCACCAAGTTCACACGGGTACTGATTAGGCTGACGGCTGTAATTAGTTATCACTGTTCCCTATTTCACCCTAGTTTTGCCTCTACATAATTGCTTTTTTCCCGAGAAAAAAACTTGTATGCTTCAGCAGTTAATACATTCAACAATACACAATAATACAATTACAATATTGAAATTTACTTTTATATTATATCTATCTTGAAGACTCTTAAGCAAGAGATGCCAATGGATCATTCCCCAACGGCAGGCAAACCGGAACTGTTTCCCGCAAAATTTTACACAAGAATCAATACGTAAAACTCAATTTACTGACACATGGAAGAACTCCATTCTATGTAAGTAATTGCTCAAGGATTGCCAAGTATGATCTTTACAATGATCTTTCATTTCACAATCTAAAATGTCGGTTACACAGTCTTGGTTACGTAACCGACACAATCTGGCAGTGCCGTGATGTTTGCCAAGACCTGCAGCAGTCCAGAGTCCTGCCAGAAGAGCCAATACCTAGATGTGTTGTCAGATAAGTTGGCCATTGCTTACTTTCGGTTTGCAAGCGCAGACGACAAATTCAGGTTTCTGCACAGACCATCATGCGCTACTATCCATATTGAAAACATCCGTCTCGTTGACTTTTCATAAAATAACTACCTATCAGTTATGATCCGCAACTTTGACATGGTTGTGATTGCTGTGTGGCTAAAAATTGGAGTGTTACCTGGTTAGAGGGTAGTAAAAGAAGCATGCAAGCTTGTGTTCTCGCCTCTACTAGAGTCAGCTGTTTTCATGTGGATAGTAATAATGCGCAAATGCCTGCAAACTAAAAGTAAACAATGGCCAACTTTTCTGACAACACTTCTACCTGATATAATGGCTTGTTTTTTTACCACTAATACTATGCACCTAATCAAAATTGAATGTACTGAAGTTGGAAAAAGGAGGTTAACTAAGTAACTGTAAGTATAATGAAATTAATAATTTTTAGTAAAATTTGGGCACTTTCATTACCAAGGTGTTGCACATTTCAGCTACTCCTGTTACTGTAAAATCACTCTCATTTCCATGGCTATGGTTTATTTCTGAGCTGAGAAGTCAAGACCTGCCAGAATATCTCTGGCATCCATCTCAAACTAGATAGCCCATGAACTGGCTAGTTAATGCATGGGACAGATGCTTCACTTATCAATGTGTTTTGACACAAAGTAGGTAGTTCTGTTGCGCCCAAAGCTGGAACATATCGCTTGGATGTGACAGAAGATGTGAAACTGGGATTAGGATATGGATATATAACTCAGTGGTACCTGATAAGTGAAAAATCTCCACAGAAAACTGATGAGGATGTCCCTCCTAGAACAACTGGAGACAGAATGTAAAAATTCTTAGGAGTACTCGAGCACTGAATTGGTTTGGGTAGTGTAACTTCAGTGGCATTGGAGGCTTCAAACTGAGGTTACTGAGGTTTTGTTACATGTTCATTACAAATTTCAGCAGGCCGGACTGCACAATCATCGCAATGACTCATTCGAAGCAAACAGGCTACTAAATAACTTAAATTAAACATAATATGACAAGCTAAGACACTGCTGTCCATGGCACACTAAAATTATTTACTTATTTAGTTCAGAGACAAATACCACAGAACACATAGTTCATAGTATCTAGGCTAGCTCCAACAGAAGGTTCAGGTTAGGGAGGGTTCATCGTATCGCATTTTTTTCTGAACAGCGCCTCTACATTGTTGCAAAATGAAATAATGAATGCATTCATGAACTTGACAGAAGAGTAGCTGAACGGCGCTCTGAAGAACAAGCCGACAACGTTGAGGACCTCCCCCCTACCCCCGCCCCGGAACCCCGGTCGGTCCGTAGACAAAATGTAAACAATTACAGAACATGAGGGATTCGGTTGCGCGCTCGGCCGCCGCGGCTAAGCTGAAAGTTTCAGCCGTACTTTCTCTGCGCTTGTAATTCTAATTGCTAATAATTTTGGCTCAAAAGATCAAGCGGAAAATAATGTATATCTTGTGGATCTGCTTTTTGTAATTTGAGGAATATTATTTCAGTAATCGTTATAGGAAAGTGAAATTCTCAGTGGTGACTGGTGGCGCTATCTCTTATCTTGAATTATCCCTGATCGAACCCTGGATTCACCTTAAAAGCCGTCTTTTACTTCGTCTTCGTCTACAGGATTCTTCGCGGACCGCGGCCGCGAACGATCGCAGAGAGTATGGAAGGTTCTACCCTTCTATACTCTCTGGACGATCGGTGATTTTCGTAGATACCATTGACGTATAATACAATCTAGACCGCGCATTGGGCCCGACTTTAGGCGGGGAAGGTAAGACAGCTAGGGGGGGTAAAGACGCGCCTTCAGCCTAGTTGATACCGCCGGATATACGAGCTAAGTGTACCCGTATCAGGCAACGGCACTGATAAGACCGGCATTTCCATTGTCTCGGTCGGTACACTTACTGCGGTTGCTGGGTTGCCTATCGTCTCGCCTGAAGGGACTCTAGTCTTGCCGAAAGGACCCCGCACGGTTCTTATGGAAAATTGCCCTCGGTCAAATGCGTTGAAACTTCAGTATGTTGTGCAGCATGTCATCATGAACAAAAGTTCCAATAGGCCAAACAAGATCCCATGTGCGGTTTTCGAGATATTCGCCGTTTTATGTGCGTAAACGGAGGTTTCGCGCGCTCCCGCCGGAAGCCATACCATTGTGCGGCGCCGCTCGTGCCCTTCCCTCCCAGTCACTCTCCGCTGCCCCGCCGCCCATACCTTGGCTCCTCTATCGCTCCAACTACGACGCTCACGAGGCTGCGCCCATCATTACCGGACCGCGCCCGCACGCCGTCTTCTTACGCGGCCTCTTCTTCGGCCATGTCGCCTCTTTTTCTCATCGATCCT